GTAAGCATTATGTTTCTTTTTCTGAACCTCAAATAGTAAGGAATTCTTTACAAGATTTCTTTCATTTTCTGATTACGAAAAGTGCAAGGTACTGCATATTACTGGTGAAAGCTTGATTTAGGTTTGTGTAAAGCTTAATTTGAGTTTGTGTACATATTGAAGGACATGCACCTGTCGTTCTCGTGCAAATGCCGATCGTAGGGTATCCTTCATATTCGAGTGAAAATAGGGGATTTCCCTCACCTATTTGATAAGTGGGGAAAATCACAGTTTTACTCTGCCGAAAGCACTAATAGTTAAATCTATTTTTTTCATCACAATATCGGAATCTGAAAGATGTTGAATCCAAAAATAAGCCATGTCATTAACAGCGAGCTGCTCGCTTCTCGAAATAAGTATGCGTTTTCATCTCCGAAGAGCTGCGAAAATATAAGCTGTTTGACAAGTTGCCTGCAATATCGCCTACGCGCCGCGCTTACGTATGGTCGCGAAGCGGCTCCGTCCCTTTTCGGACGAAATAAATCCGCGTATTTATACGAAAAAATAGCATACCATTCAACCCACCACCTATTACCTCGTCTTGCGTCAGCGCATCATACGTTGGCCATAATCTTGATTCATGCGATGCTATAGCGATCTTGAAATTATAGCGCCAGCTAAAGCCGCTATTTTCGATTTACCTACGTCAATGAGTGATGCCTTCTCATCGGGTATTTGTGCTATCCTATAATTATTATTGGTTCTTATCAGGCGCCATAAAGTCTTCATAACCATGGAATTATAGAATTCCAGCTGGCTGTGTACAGCAGCTTCACGTCAAACTAATTCGCATGTTTTTCCACTAGCTTACGTAAACTCCCGAAGGTGGGGGAGTGTTTTCTGTCTACGGCGCCAGTACTTTACACGCTTTTGTGCTTCCGCGAATTCAACTAGAAAAACACGAGTGAGAAGTAGAACACACATGTGCCGCAAATTTTAAAGTGTTTCCACTCGGCAGTAGACATTTTCACAGAAAGTTTGGAAAAGTTTTTTTTCGAAGTCGCGAACAGTGTAACGACGCAACTATCATCAATTTTGTTCAATGTGTCACTGCACTTGGTGGTGGGAGAAAAATAAGATTTCACAACTGGTTCGGTGATTTTCATATTTTTTGGAAAAATTAAACAGTTCCAACACTTGACAACTCACATTTATCACGATTTTTGTGGTTCCAATTTGTTTCTAGACACATTTAGCAGAATGGGTGATGCAAAAATGTACAACTCATCTTTCCAGCGTATACTAGAACCGAGGAAGTAGTTTTATGATAGATGTTGGAATGATGATTTGTACATTTTTACACCACCCGCTCTAAATCTCCTTGCAAATGAATTAGAACTGCAGAATTCCTATAAATGTGAGTTATGGAACTCTTCCATCTATCGTCAGTTATTGCAGACCATGCGCGCTACTTGACGACTTGGAAGATGGGAACCTGCCCATTTCCATTAGCTTCTTCTTGTTTTGTTGTCTCTTTTGATTTGATTGGACATGTATCAATTAGTATACTTCTGCGGTTTGCCACGCTACAGAAAAGTTTTACTGATAAGTTTCTAGCAAGGTGTCTCGATCAACGTGCGTAGTTTGTAGACTCACATATAAGTTACAAATGACTTGGAAATATCAAAAATCTTAGAGTCTTTGGATGCTACTGTTCGTTATTGTGGAAATTAGAGAATCCATTCTGGACGCAAGCATACCCGAAGACTCTGGGTAGGAACCAACATAATGACCAACAAATGCGTCCTCCTTTCTTCACCTCGTCCTTTCCCTACCCTTCTAAATTCATCCTGCAACCCTTCTTTTTCTTCTTGCGGTGGACTATCTCAAAAATTTCGTGTACTGATGCGGCCTGAATGCATTGAATACTGTAGGTGCCCTAGCATACGTAAATCTGTGCAAATCAGAAGACCAAGTACAAATAATCTGCATTCTAGAAAATTCCGCTGCAGCTGCTACCCCATGACTTTCCTAGAACGACAATGGGGACACTCTATGCATCTCTGGAATAGCGTGCATGGACCAGCTGACGTCAGCTGGCCGCTGGCTGGCTCGTCGTACTCATTCCTCGCTCACTCACTCTCGCACACATCAATTCCACATGCACACACAGGGGCGGTGCATGTTTACGTCGAGTGACGTGCACGTTCTGTGCTGTGAAAGAGCGGAGCGTGTGTGTGGGGGCTGGCGCCGGGCCACTCCCCCAGCCACGACGGCCGACAGGCAATCGCTCGCTTCAGTCGAGCGGGTGCCGGCTGTGCTTCCCATCCCTCTGTAGAAGCGCACAAAACTTTGCTGTAAAAGTTATACAGCAAGAAGCGCTGAGGGGGGTCTGGTCCTGCAACGCAGCACATGGAAATAAAGCGATGTCAAAGCTGTGAAGTGTGTGCGGGCGGAACAACTGTGGATTGCTGGAAGTTGTCGAAGGAGGACGAGGAAGAAGATTTTTGCCGCGGCCCGAGTGTGTCGACGACCCGTGTGTGCAGCAGCATCCTCGCCCCGGTCCGGTTCGATCTCCGCGATCTTCTCCCCCGCTCGTTCATCGTCGTTTTGAGGTCGTCCAGTGTGAGCGCTTGCAGCGCGCGGACCCAGTTCGGGGCCGTCGAGCGCTGCGCCCGATTAATCGCGCTCGTCGTCGACGACTGACTGGTCCCCCGTCCCCCCGAACGAGCGCCTCATATTTACGTTCGTCGTCGTATCCATCGTAAAGCGCTCAGCTCTCTGCGCCAGTCTTCTCTTTTCTGCAAAAGCTTTTGCAGTTGTCCTGAACTAACTCGTCCACTTCTTTGTTATAGCATTTCACAGCACATCTTATCCCAGATAGGAATCTAGAATTCTGAAGCTATTCGTACTTTCTCAGACCTAACTTTATAGACTTTCTTTTTTCTCGGGCAGTGGCAGTAATTGGATTCGCATTGCACGCGCGAGACGTTTGCGATGCAATTTACACGTCATCTGACGCGTTTTTGCGCCTTCCCTTTCTATACATGCCCATACATGTCCACGTTGCACTTATTATATGTCAAAATTTGGCGTTAACATGTTTTGGAACCTGTTTTGCGATGAAATTCAGTTATGCACGACCGTGTTACTTGGGTTTCAGCGCTGCGCTCACCTTACAGAAACGAATTTGCTCGTGATGGAAGACACTGCTAAAAGTTCTCCTGTGAGTTCGTGCTTCGTCAATTCTTGCCCTTACAAGTCCTGTTTTTAGCATCGGTTTTACTAGTGCAACTATTCTTCTGCCCACCTATTCACGCTTTTGACGTTAATACACATTTGCGTACGCTTCAGCGCTCGTTTCATCAACGATCTCGCCCAATCTACTCTATTTAGAGCTAGCCATGCGTTATCTTAGGCACATGCTTCGCGAAATCTTGCGTATTAGCACAATTTTACTGATGAACTGACCATGTGATGAGTCAAGCCGAAGATACTCGATGATTTGGAAACTCCTCTTTCGAGATCTTCGGCTGACTCATCACATGGTCAGTTTCATCAGCTCAAATTGTGCTATAACGCAAGATTTAGCGAAATTCTGTTTCATCAGCTTTAGGAATCATGATTTTTCCGCAAATGCGCTCATTGGCTGAATTGGGCGCGAATTCAGTGTGTATCACAGTAGTGTTCCATGTTTTTCCTCTTCTGTGCGACTTTTGAATGATTTGTTTGATGGGGAAGCCCTTTCCAAATGTTCATCAAAATCGTCCAAAGAATACTGGCAATTCTGAAGGACAAAATCCCGTTCACTACAAAGTGGTTGCACTATAAACACCTCTCGTACGTTTTAGAAATTTCGCGAAGGCGACTCGTAAAAATAGTACTGTTCTTTGAGACACCCCCCCCCCCTCTCTCCCCCGTCAGCTACCCTAGCCTTTCTCTCATTCCTCCTGTAATCAATAATTCTATCCGCCGTCGTGCGACAGCGGCGAACAGTCGCTTCAGATCGATCAATCGTGATCGATACAACCCGTAGTGTGGGACGGGGGTGCGACGACGGACTGGTTCTCCCTCTCTCACCCCCCGTCTACCCGTCCGCACTCTCCGAATCTCTCGCACCCCGTGCGGCAGCCGCTCCCCCAGCGCGATAGGGTCCAGCCCCTCGTCAACTATTCTTAGGGGGTGCCTCGTCGGTGGGGTGTAGCAGCCAGCACAGCAGCCGCATCGACCGGTTGTTGAATGAATGGAACATTCTAGAATAGGCAGCCGAGATGGTGGAACTGAACGAAGAAATGATGCTGTTTGAGAGTTGAATGTTACGTTTATTTGATTACCGTGTTGTCTTTCACTCATTCAGTAGTAAGTTGAATCATGAATTCTAAGTGCTTGTAGTATACAGCAACATGCATCTGTTCTGTTCATTCATCCTCATGATGACATTTCATAGCCTTTAAGCACTTATTTATCGATTTAGCATTCATTTATTCACCTATTTCTGGACGTATCCCCCAGTGTCCTGAACTAAATGTGCATTTATTAGTTCATTTCTACTTTTTGTTGACTTTCGACAATGCTTTCCTCGTCCATTATCCATTCATTCATTCCGTCCGCCTACTCGTTCATACTTTCATCACTTAAAATTCACTCTGTTATTCTTTTCGTGGGTGTTGTTGATTACTTCACACTTCCACACACTTGTTAGTTCTTTCATTTGCCAGGTACACAGCTTAGAATAGCTTCGCAATGCTTCCATTGTTCTCATTCTTTCTATTGTTTCGCATCTCGGACGCCACACTTCCGTGATTACACGGTTTTGTAGTGCGCGTTGTGAATAAGTTAAAGGAGTTCTTGAGAACACTCTATTGTTAAAACTTCTCAGTAATAAGACTTGAAACTCTGAAATTCCTGATTGTTGGGTAACTACAAATACCGTAGTGGTTTGGCCAGTTTTCTGAATCCCATTATACTTCTCTCGCGTATTTTCGCGTGCGTTTCGCGAATTTCTTGTTGAGATGTGATGGATTTTCTTACAATTTGGTTATTATTTCAGAGTATTTAACTATTTCGGGTCGACAATGGTGTTATGTGCATCCTATAACTCACGTGCCCATTCCTCTATTCTCCCCTACGACTATGACGATTGCGACGATGGTGATGTCTGTCGATACGAGGTGCCTACGAGTATGCCGCGCGGTGGTGTTGTAGTACCCACATCGCAGCCGATTTCTCTCAGGTTTGTTTGAAAATAATCATTCAGATCATAATTTGACGCTAGAAAAACGTCAAGACTTCAAAAGTGCAGATGTGGATCCGTGTCGCTAAACGGCGCGCATTTGTCAACACAGAATAAAGGCGGTGTAATTCTTTTAGATTATAATTTGACGCTAGAAAAAGGTCAAAACTCAAAAAGTGCCGGTGTTCCGTACCGCTAAATGACGCGCCTTTGTCAACACAGAATAAAAGCGCTGTAATTCTATCCTTTTTGCAGTTCACGTTGCGTAATATTACTTCGCAATGCGGTCCACTCTTTCATGTAGCGCTCTAGGAACCCCTTATGATGTGGCGAAGTTGCCCTAAATAACACGCTCCAATAAGCGTAAACGATCCGAGCGTACCGTAATCATGCCTGTTTATTCTGGGAGGCAGCATCCTGGATGTCTAATTCTAATTTATTCGTTGTGCGATATGGATGCGCATAAGGAATATCTTTCTAGCAACAGTTACGGTAATACTTACCGTAACTACTGCAGAATAAAATAACAGAATATGGTGCTAAAGGCTCAAGAGTGTCTTTTCGTTCTTTGTGGAAGAACCGAATGACACTTGAGCTGACATGAAGACACGAAATGTTTGAAATTTTCACTGTGTAAGTGGATATTTCGACATTTTCTCGTCCTTTTTCGCAATCTAGTACGAAAATATATCGAAAGTTCATGTTCAGATTGCTTCCGTTGAACTTTCTGAATGTGACTCCAAAAAGCAATATCTGTCCTTGGACAGCTGACATTTTCCAACATTCCTGTAGTTCCCCACTCGTGACATTTTCAATTTCATTTTTGCAAGGCCATCCAGCGCATGGAATTGCTGAATTGCTTGCTGTTCTCTGCAATAAGCAAGCCCCTGCCGTCTCGGCGCGCCTGCTGTGCATGACGGGCTCAATTCTCCTCGCGCTCTCTCTCTGTCTCTCAGCCGCGCTCGCCCCTCAGCGCCTAGGCCAGCCCCCATCCCTCCTCTCGTCATTGACGTGTTGCCGTCACGTGTGTAGCACACGGACGATCATTTAAATAGGCGAACGAATGCCGCATGAGCGCCATATTCATCCACCCATTCGTGGGCTCTAGCTACCTCTCACACACTGGAACCGCATGGAGATTTCAATGTGAGTCGTTAGCGTTGAAAGCAGTGTGTGAGCTTGGAAGATCTTACTGTGTGTGATCCGCATAAGCGTGAAGAAATTTAAGTCTGAGACAGCTTAGCCAGACTTAGCGCTAAACTTATAGCAGGCTTGTTGGGATCTCTCGTGATATGGAAGTATTGTTTAATACTTTTCTTCACGAGAGATCCTCCGAGAAATAATTGGGCTGAATTGCGCAACAGTTGCGCAAGATTGTCCATCAGATTAACAAAGCGCTTATTAAATGGGCTGAATACAACTTTTGATTCCAAAATTGGGGGAAAAGGACCTATTTTGACAAACTGCTGTTCTCAGATTAATAAGTCTGGCTGCAGCAGTTTGTCAAGCTGGTAAGATTGCAAAACCTCTCTTCGAATGCTTTGAAATTTTCTAGTATGAAAATGTGATATGCAAAATTCAAAATTCTCAGACAATGCTTTTTTCAGGTCTCCCTATTCTACGGACGATGACTTGGCCGACTCGCCTCCGATGGAGCGACTTTACTCTCCGCTCTCTTCGTCGGCGGAGTCTATAAGCTCCATCAAATCGAGGTTGGTAATTGCCCGTAGCGCAGAGGACTTCTAGTCTGTCGTCATCATTTATGTTGGCTACTGTACTGAATGACATTTTTTACTCTTCAGTTCGTCGTCGCGGTCTTCGGCCGAACGCGAGATTGAGCGACAGCAGCGTCGGCAGTTGCTCGATGCCAGCCTGCTCAAGATGCGCGCCTCCAACAACATGCCTCTGCGGAAGCATCTGCTCGTGTATAACACCGTCAAGCAGCTCCAGGTACGGTAGAAGTGAATCTTGTAGCTGTGACAGGGGACGAAGAGTGTTTTCTTTTCAGCGCGATCTGGATTTGCTCGACGACGAGGAGCTGTACTGCAACCTAATGGGCGAAGGCTGCGGCGAACGTATGGATGTTGACGAACGTCGTTGGCCATCATTTGGTGGCATCGGCGGCACGACGGGTTCGCCCTGCATGACAATGACATCTTCGTCCTTGCCGTCGTTGACGTCTTCAGAAGGTGATGTTGTCGTGTCTTCGGCGGCGGCGACGGCGGCTGCGGTCACTTCTGCGACTGCGACGGTTGCACCTCCGCAGCAAGAGGAGCGCCGCGTAGCTGAGGAGGCCACTTCTCTTATTTCTGATGATCTCGACATGGACGTGTGTCAGCAGATGCCCCAACAGCAGCAGCAGGCTCCGACCTGGTCATGGACAACGACTGATACTACCTCGACTACTACAACGACCACATGTGGTGGTACGACCATGACCGGCTCGGGCGGCTTCCATCTGTTCGAATCCATCCAGGCAAGTAACCCACTCCCTTCTTTGTTGTGTTTGGTTTCGCTTGCACAAATGATTTCTCTTCTTTCTTCGCCTTTTCGCTCTTTTGTCGTCGAGCGAGCTTATTTGCTCACTCGCTTTGTCCCCTTTGCGCTGTGGCGAGCGTCACGCGACTCGCGTCTGGCAACCCTCTCGGCGCCTCACTATCCATAGCCCTTCGATTTCTCAGCTCACCAGCAACGAGGCCGTGGCAAATCGGCGCTCTCACATGATGGGCGACGGGTTTTGCGAAAATTGCGTTGAGACTAGAGAGCGAAGGTAATTTGGGGTTGCTGGTGCGGTCTCATGATCGTGGGTGTTGACGTTATTCTACCTCTTTGAAAGAAAGAAGGTCATGTCGGATGTGTATGAGGTTTTTATAGAGTTCTATTTTTAGAACCTTTTACTTTTTGTGGAACAGCCTTTTTGTTGTGAGCAAAGGGGAGCGCTTGAGCAGAATAAAGGGTTTTGAAAGAAGACAGCTAAAGTACATGCACATGTTTATAACTTAACTGGGGAGAAAAAGTGCTAGTCGATTATTCATGGATAGATTCTATGTGGTCACAGTCGAATTTATGACTGTGTAATAGATTAGCGCGTATAACGTTTTTTCACCATTTGACGAGTTCGTTTTTCCTTTGCTTGGGCGACCTTGTCCAGTCTTGTTCTTTTGCGAAGCTCTACGTGTCTTGTACCTCATGTCCTTCAAATACTGTCACATCAAATGCTGGCCCTCATGAATCATTTTGTGCTCACAAAAATAATGCGTAGCGCTGCCGGAGCCATTGCGAAGGTTTTTTCCCGTGGCGTAAATGAGAATGCGCCTATTCAAGACGGACTCGCTCGTTCGCGCTGACGATCCGCATCTGTTGTCAACGCATACATCGCGCAGCCAATGTCATTATCGTCTTTGTGTGAGACGCGCTGAGGTTTTTGTGGCCGCGTGTGGTGTGCACCTTTATTCCTTTTTCCCTACCAAACAATAAAGATCGCGTAAAATGAAACGACGAAACGACGAAAACAACTTCTTTTGTTCTTTCGTGCAAGAGAGAACTGGTGTGCGTGTGTAGTGAGAGTGCAAGTGAGGAAAGGACATATACATTTATGATAAATTGTAGGGTGTTTTGGTAGAGTGGGCTGTTGCGAATTTGAGTGTTGCGGGGACATTATAGCCAAAATACTTCCTCTCCATGAATCGTTTGTTTTGAGGTTTTGACTGAACTTTGAATGGTCTCATTGGACACTCTTTGTAACAAAGGGGACAGAGAAAGGAATATCGCCACCAGGCGCCACCTCCAGATTACTAGTTCTTTCGCGATGATACTTCGTATCGTGCGGGACTAGTTGTCCGCGGAGGGGCAGCTAGGGTGGTGTTTTGCTCTACTCAGTTGTGTATGGGCCTTGTAGGTACATCAAATTTTAGTTTGATTGGGGTTTTTTGTTAGCAGAATGCGATGCACGGAAGAGAAACCATTTATGCTTCTGTGAAAATTTCTGAGCTTTTCTTATTCTTCTATGTTTCCAGGATGCTCTGGGCGAATCGTTTGCGGGTTGGAGTTGGTCAACAGATGACACGAGCAGTTACAGCAGTAGCAATAGCAGCACTAGCAGCAATAGCTATAGCAGTTCGGACCTGTGGTGGAGCGCAGGTGGCTCGGGTTCCGCGACGCCATTTGGCGCAACATCGCGTCTCGATTCGCTATGGGGAGTTGGAGCCGACCCGCTTGGCGCCGCTAACCTGAGCCGTTTCGAGCTACAGCATCTGTTCCCATCACAGGTGCTGCTTCAAGCTTAAACGCCGACGTTCACACACACGCAAGTGCTCTTCGCTCACACCACGACGCGGCGGAGTGTGTGTGAATGTGCTCTCAATCCAGAACAACCAAGAAAGAACAACAGTCATCTGCAACCCACGTATGTCCTAATATATCTACCTTCTCATTCATGTGCATAGTGTAGTTCTAGTTCGATCTCTGGCGCTTAGCCGGTGTTTTGTCATACTCTTCCATCCATTCACCATCACACACAAACCTGCCTGGTTTCCGGCTTGGCGCCGGCAATCCTATCCAAAACAAAACTGGTCCCTCCGTGTAACACATCCTCATTTCATGCAACATGTTTTCATCATCATCGGTGTTTTCATTTTCTCTCCTCATTACATTTATTATGTTTTTGTTCTCACTCTCGTCGTGTATAGTAAGTGTGATTACGGCTCATTGAGCGCTTGAAGCAGTCCTTTAGTTTAGTCGCAGTTAGAGTCAGAGTTTTGTGTCAGTTTGCCAAAAAATTTGCGATACATCTCCAATCTCTCTCTCGAAATTTTGTGATTGTACCAATTGTGATGGTCAGGAGGGTCAACGGCGGTACCATCTGGGCGATCCCCACTGCCTTTACTAAGTTTTCGATTAGAGTTTTTCGGATCGTCTTGCATAGTCTCTGAATTTGATCGCTGTTGACCTTCCTCCTACAGCCAGAAACCTCATTCTCAAGCGTGTATTCGCTGCCCGGTCGACGTCACCACTCCCCCCTTACCTACCTTAGGTTATGGTCCTTTCTCTAGTTGTGTTTTTCCCGTAACTTACGCTAAACTACTTCAGTTTTACTGGTGACGTTGGTTGCTCTAGCGGTGTATATTCGTAGCTTTTAGTGTATTACGATTAGTGTGACTAGGGTAGTCTCTTGTTGACATAAGACACAGCGTGTGTATAACGAGTGCAAAACGTAAGGTAGAGCCAGCCACAGAAGCACGCATCCGATCAAAACGAGTCCAAAGTCTATAATATTATTATATGCGAAGTCGAAACTATCTCCGATCGTGATCATCTCTCTTCTTTCCAATGCGGGGTAACCAAAAATTTGCTCTCTCTATCTCTCCGGCATCAAATATAGTCTCGAGTGTTTTTGATATTGTCATTTCGCGTCTGACATTTTGTCTCATGGATTTTTAACTTTGATTTGTCACATTTTGAAGATGATATCCTTCGTGTGCGTGTAATGCGGCGTGTGTGTGTGCATTTCTTTCTCACTTAGTGAGTGCTCCCCATCTCGTTTTCTGTCTCCTTCTCTCCTCCAAAGCCGGTCTACCCCCGTTGCGATGTGGCTGAGCGTCGCGCGCTCGTTCTACACCACGCACGGTGGGCCCTCTCAAAAAATGTGTGCGTACCGGGTTGTATTGTTATATCCCCAGGGACTAAAAGAACCATCTCCGAATTTCCTCCTCCTTGTCCTCTCATCTTTAGCGGGTTTTGTATGTTTTTTCGTCGTCAAATCACAATTCGTATTCCTGTCATTACGCATCTCCTTCCATCTCGTTTGTGTTATATGTATGTATGTGTCATGATGTGTTGTATACTATTTATATAATGTAATTCTGTAATTTTCTGAAAGATTTCTATATGATCAAAATCTCGTCTTTTCCCCCACTCTGATGTGCATTTCCCAAGCTCTCAGTCCGAACGGTGTAGCTTTACGTTGAAAATTCATTCATCCATCGAATCCAACCGGTTTTGTCTCTTCATAATCATCTTCCGCATCCGATCATCATTCATATGCCATTCGAGATGTGAACCGTGTTTCGCGTTTTGTCCTCTTTTTCTTCTTTACACACTGTTGTAACATTCTCTCTCACTTCTTCTCTCGCCCGCTGCAGGTGTTGGGGGCGGAGCTGTCCCACCCCACCCGGACGCGGCCCCCGTGCTCCCCCAAACTCTGTTGTCTCTTGTCAGTATTGTCACCGTGCAAGAGTGCCCTGGCTCACCACTAGTTTGTACATCTTAGGCACGAACTCGATGAGCCGGGTGCGCTTTGTTGGATGCTGACGTCAGAGCTAGAAAAGGACAATTTTTCTGAGTATTTCAAAATCTAAATGGTCCCGCGCTCCGACGTCAACATCCTCCGACGCATCGCCTTTCCACTTACTTGTCAACCACAGGTGCAGCATTGTAGATTTCTATATATGGTCGATGATTGTGTATTTCTGAAAAGATAGTCGTCAGTGTGATCTGTACATATATACTCCTTCCTCCCATTCAATACATTCTTCTCCTACTAGGGGCGCATCTCGTACAATCTCCTCGTCGTCTGGTGTGTGTGTGTTTTTAAAATCGTGCATATAGAGCATTTGCGTAAGTGACAGACCCGTTGTGTGACACAGATTTCAGACATTTCATACACTTCATCATTTTCCTTTTCTTTGTTTCTCAACATGAGACTCCTTAGGGCCTTCTTCAGCGTGTACAAAGGGTTCTATTTTTTGTTTGTGTTTTATATATGTGTTGTATTATAGCCTATCCTTTCCCCCAGTCAATCACACCCTTACAATCAATGCAAACCCATCCATCCAGTTGAATTCCATACATTTTTATTATTTCGATAATCAGTCGATAGTGTGTTGGCTAATATATCGATATAAATATTCTATTATCGGTCTTGCAACTTATAAAGAATAAAATGTTGAACTAACCCATTATACGAACATTGGAAAGTTACAGTACCCGACTGCAAACAAAAGATTGGTGTCTAAACAGTTCTTAAACGTTGAACATACATAGGATTGGAAGTTCTTCAAAGTTAGGGCTGCTAGTAGTAAAGCAAAAGTCGTGAAACGAAAAGTGCTCAAATATTAGCAATAAAAATAATTGACGGTCGTGAGTTTGAAACCACGCATGAAATAGCTTGAGTGATCAAGAATTTGTTTACAACTTGCATAGGGTCGGTACTAAATGTTTTTCAGAAGAAAAAAAAACAAAAATTGCATTTATTTGAACAGACTGTAAATCAGTAAGAGTTGGTGTGTGAATTTACTACTCATGTGGGATCTCATATTTATAGAACACAAATTTTAAAAGTCAAAAAATTACATTCCATTACAATTGTAACCTATATCCGATACTGTCATTCTAAATGTAGACACTTCCGCGTGGCACAGAATGCGGCGCATCAGGCCGCTGTTTTTCAGCCCTGCAGTGCCTCCAGAACGTGGAAATCTGCGGCTGAAATGCATCGAAATGATTCTAGTTATGACAAGAGTGCCGTTTCTGAATTTCATTGTCAGCTCCCTTAGTGGTCTGTAGGGGGTAGAGGATATATGCCGCTAAAAGGGGTGGTCCCAGGCGGATTACGACAGATCATGCAGCTTCACATAATACTATATTGCAGGTTTGTACCAGTTGTCCACGAGGGGGGTGCCTAACGGCGACATATAGTCCCGTGCCCGTCTATAGGGGAAGGGTAGAAGAAATCATTTAGGATCTGGCCTACACTACTGTCCTCAAGCGACATGCAACAGCATCTCAAAAGAGATCAGTTGTCAGTAAAAGGGCCAAAAATTGTGCTCGTTTCTCTACCCGGTGGTGGACAATAGATCCGGACCATGAGGGCCCCGAATGCTATGGCAGAGCGGAGTATGTACCGGAGTTGTTATCGCAGCGCGTTTGCATGTTCCCCAGTGATTGATGAAATGACATCTGTCGACTAGTTAATGATCGTCGCATGCGTTGCTGAACTCGATAAGCACATGTTATGAACATCAATTATTGCTACCCCCCCCCCCCCCCCTTATGGATTGATGATGTTATGTTCCGGTGGTGTTGACACTAATGATGTTGGGGAGTTTTCAACTAGATGTGGGGACGAAATGGTGAAGCAAACACAACATTAGATGAAAGAATATGGGAAGAAGAAGCGGGGAGAGAATAGCAGAAAGAGTAAATACAGTCACGTCATTTTGTAATCCGATACTTATATGTGCAATTGCACATGATGTCCATTTTACGCGTTTTATCCTGGTACTCGTCTCATGCTGATGCATATCTCTCTGGGATATGTGCTTTCAACAGTTTTTCAAATCTCATTTCAAGTGAATCATCCTCATTTTAGTAGACATAGTGGAAACATTGAATTTGAACTGGAGCGGGCGATAGCGATAGAGCGCGGCACCATCTAAGGCAACTTATACTGAGGGTCAAGGTATCGTGCTCTACGGCAACCGGCCTGCTCCAAAATTTAATTGGCTCACCGTATTTTTGCCATATAAGGATGAGTTTAACAACACCGCTACTGAGGTTTTTCAAGAGTTCTATAAAATCAGCTAAGGAGATCCAGGAGAATACGCATAATGTGAATAGTGTGTGCAATTGCACATGTCACGAGAGATGACCAATTGTAGCTTGCGCTTACGTTAGGTCTAGGCTTAGGTTAAGAAAAACCCTTTTTGCCAATTGAAACCATTTTTTCGTGCAGTTAAGTGTGTTATCGGCCGAATTTCTAGTGAGGTCAAGTTTGGCAAAGATAGGGGTCATTTTTAAACGTGGTCTAGTTGTTGTTTTTGCCTTGCTTCCGTAAATACGGTCATAACGCTTCGTGTTTTTCGCCAAATGTTCCACTGAAACAGTTCCAGTACATTTAATGTAAATAGATATTATCCATGTCTCGGTGTACTTACCATCCTTTGCAAAAAAAAGTGCTGATGGGCCATTGAATTATGACCAGGCAATTTTTTGCCCAATGAATCCTCTCAATGGCCTAAATTAACCGGACATCAAAGAGTTGCCGAAACCTGTCCTCGATAACGTCGGCGCACTTTTTCTGCGTAGGCACAAAAAAGTTCGCAAATTGCTCAAAAAACATTTTTGTGAAGATGTTATTCATCAACGATTAATGAGACGAAAGAAATTTCTTTTTAAAGGATCGAATAGAGCGCGTAATTGTCACACATAAATCCGGTTGTGTAAATACAGTATCCGATTGAAAGAACTTTTGATGAGGCGGGTTTTTTTCTTTACGGGACTTCTTGCATTTCTCTACTTTAAAGTGTGAAATAGCATGCAACATCATTAGCAAACACGTTTTAACTGGTTGAAAACACATGTGCGAGATGTTTTCATGTGGTTGATGAAAGAAGTGTGAAATGATAGGTGTTAGTTCATTTTGATGGATCGTTTTAGAGATTTAATTGGAACGAGATTTGTTGCTACCGGGTCATGCTTGTTGTTTTTCTTTCGATCATATCTAATTTGTTTCAGACAAGCGCAAATCAGTGGTTTTTTTTCGATAACTATGGAGAATTAGTTCAAAAACTGCTTATTTTTTGAGCTAATAATTTAGTTAGGGTTTCGTTCAACTCATTTTTCTTATTTTGTTGAAAGGACCGGGGACCTCGTATAAAAGTTCTGTAGTAAAGCATTGTTCTTGCACACAAACATACTTATAGCGCCAACTGCGTCGCGTACGCGTTGCGACAGTACCCCGAGCGCGACGCTGCATCTGGTAATATGCTCAATAATCCAGTGCTTTCCTGAACATTGTAAGATTGCAGAAACTCGAACAATTCCTGGTGAATTCATGGCTTGCCTGCTTCTGAATTTGCATAGAAATGTGGCGCCAACCGCGTCGCATACGCGCTATAGCCGCATTGCGACCGTTCCGCGCCTCGTCAGCGATTCGCTTAGCTTCTAGTAATCGCGTACATAATCCTAGCGGTGTTGAGTGAATGAGTGCAATTTTTTTGCGGTGCTAAATTGGCTAAATTGCCTTGTGCACTTGTAAGTGCTAATCTCCCCTCTCCCCCTCCCCTCCCCCCCCGCACAATACCGTACCAGCCCCTCTCTGTGTTCTTTCGCTATTTTTTTCACACCATAATTTGCTTGACGTTCGCTTGCATGTGCTAATCTCGTCCTATAATTGCCAGTTGAAGGACAGCTGTCCGGGTTTTTACAACACTGCCATTTTTTTCAACGGAGGTGCCAATCCGATCTCAAACCTCATTGACGGCTATAAATGTCACGAGTGGCGGAGAGGGCTTTATCGTTCCGGGGGTTTTTCTACGATTTCGGTATTTCCAGTCAAGATGTCATCAAAGACGGAGGTGCAGACTGTTTTTATACGAAGATATTGATGGAGTGTCAGACTTTCACATCCGGATTTTTCAGATGTGCCCGGGCTTAGGCTTGAATTTGCGTGCAATGTTCGAAACTGCATGAAAAGCAGACAAACTCTGAGTGCTCTTTGAGTGTTTCGTGTGCGGGACGAAAGCACAGCGCGATCGCATTCGAGGAAAAAGAGGCCTATTGATAAATGTGAGGAAGGCAGACATAGTTAGTCTTGCCAGGAAAAAAAGGGATTATGAAAGTTCTTTGCAGTATGGAAATGTGAATTGAATATTTGCTGCATATGGGAGATTACAGTACTTCTCCAAGGAAGATTATATGCAAATATGGTTGGATCTTGTGTAGAAATGGACTGTGCCAACTGGATAGAGAAGATTGTTTCTGAAAAGGGTGGTCCCTCTCAGACATCTGGAACAAACCATATATCACTATACATTATAGCCCTGTACCAGTTGTCCATCGGGGATTGAGCTTATCACTGACTAATCGTCCTCAACCTTCTCAATCAAGCCATTGCCCAAGCGGCAGCTGAAAAATGTCCACTTATGGGTGCAACTCTAAACTCTCGTCCATTTCCGTATTCTCTCCAATTGGGTATGTTAGTTACGGTGGTGGGCTAGAGTTCAAATTGATTTTTTTTACGACATATGAATTTGTGTTGTTGCTTGGACAATATTTCATATAGGAAATTCATACACAGGTTTGTCCACTTCGACAGCGGAGCCAGCGTCGCTTATATGTCATAATCCATTCCACTTTTTTTCTAAAGCTTTTTATCTCTTGCGTAATGAAATTTATGGGAACATCTCATATTAGTCGATGCCATCTCACTCTGCCTTCTTCTTATGCCATTTTAGGCTTTCGTTTATGCGCCTACTTTATAGATACTGGACGTTCTCTGAGCAGAGGCACAGAGAAGCTCTAAAAGCGTAAGGGAAATGAATTGCAATAATCTATTAGATAGACACGAGGGTTATAAGACGCACTAAGATTAACTGACCTTTATTTTTAGGTTGTAAAGAACGATTGGGATGAGGATGGGGGGAGGGAGGGGGGAAAGGGGAGTAAACAAAGCATACGGAAATCAGCTGGATTTAGATCATGGATATGAGGTCGTCACGAATTTGATAAAGGACCATTTTTTTCATAATGGTAATGTTCTGGCATCCCTGAGATAGATCGTCCGGATTTCCCATTCTTGAAAATTCACACTTGGTAATGCTGTAATCTTTTTTGTTTTTGTGTTATTTATGCCCTTGAATGTACATTAAATAAATAAATAAATAAATAAATATTATGCGAGAACTTCAAATGAACTATTTCTTTACCGAATGTGTTTTTTCCTTATTTCTTCATGATAACTACATTTGCAATTACATTTTTGTCTATTTTTAGAGACTCCCGTGCAGGGCTCAAATTGAAGCTAGTTTTCTCAAGACTACTTCTTTGGCATTGATTACTTCCCTAATTGGTTTGCTGCAAACCTTGCAGACGCTGAAAAACCGTCGAAGTGTGAAGTTGGTAAAAGCAGGGAACTCCAAAAATAAAAATATAGTTACTCAACTAAATTGC